CGTGCGTGTGTAGTTGTGTGTGTGTGTGTGTGTGTGTGTGTGTGTGTGTGTTTGTGTATGTGTGTGTATGTGTGTGTGTGAATGTCTACTTAAGTTTGTGTCACAAACGTATAGCAGGTGGGGCAAGCGGGGCGAATGGCCATTACCAGCGCTGAGCAACCTTGTGGAGGGTGCGTTGTGCGCTTGTCCTTCGATTGTGTAAGTCGGTTATATCCACTACCTGCGTTGGTTTGCCATGGGCATTGCTTGCATAAAACCATGCTGCTGTACGAATTGGACTCATACTGCTTTTTATTCCTGACTCCTCGTCCTATGGCTAGAGCTGGAGGTATTCTGGGTTCCAAGTTTTTGTACAAACCATTTGAGTGAGCGACATTGCAGAAAACAACTAGTTTTTTACCTGCTTAGCAGAGTTCGTGAAAATTAGATGCTATATGATGATAACGTGCTTTTGTGTCACACGCATCAACCCAGAAACAAAACCACAATAGCGCCAGCGAAACGAAGTTGTGACTCTCCGGTGGTTCGTGAGCGTGATCCAGAATCCTGGAAACGGCAGAAGACAGGCAGCGCCCAGTGCAAAGCGCTCTCCCACTTCCTGCAAAGTAGTGAGGAATTGGCGGGCGATCGTATGGCCCCCGGGTTCATAGCCGAGAAGGTGGTGGTGCAGAAAGGGCCGGTATGTACTGTTGTTTGTGCGTCTTGGCGCCAATGTGTACGCATGTACTATTTGTATGCGTACATAGGCTGTTTATATACCTTCTGCTGGTGCGAACGGGACAATTGCGATAGAAATCAAACACGTTGGTCGAGTATCTGATATCCGTAAATACAATGTTTTAAGTGACATAACTGTCCACAAGCCTTGCATTAGAGTTGGTTTTCCTTGCCTTCTCTGCTAGCTCGCACTTGCATGTTCTGATAGATAGGCATGCATAGCTCATCTTGTGGCACATACAAGCCTCTTCGCCCTAGCTACTACATATCTTGTTGATGGAGAATGGTATCTCTTTTCACACTACTATACCGCTTTTAGACTTATATATATAAACGTGGCATATATTACCGCGCATGTATCTCATCCTCCTCTACTTTCCTGCCATTCGAAAATAAAATTCGCCGTGCAAGGTATGGGACATAGTGGTGCCAACCGACACCCGCAGCTGCTGCTTCACCAAAGCATATTCAAAGTATCACGAGGGCACCGGTAGTGTCCTGCAGACAAATACGGAGCACTCGTATGTATCGGCATTTGAACCAATCATGGAGGCGCGGAGAATCTCAAACGAAAACAAGCGAGCCCAATTCGAAGAGAGCAAAGCCTCATCGTCACACACCCCTGCGGAAACGCACACACAAGAACAGTCCCAATCGCAATCGCAATCAGAAACAGAGCCGCAGACATCGGCACAGTCCCTCGTTGACGGAAAAGAAGTACCGCCAACAGAGTCAGACATCGGAACAGAGTTGCAAACACAATCAAAGGCAAAGATCGAGACTACCGAGGAGACAGCAGCGGACAAGTCCCCAGCGGTGGCAAAGGGTATCATGTCAGAAGTCCCACGCGAACAAATTGATGCTGTAATGGCTTTGGGGCTCCGATTCTTGAGCCCCAGAGAAATCGCTCGGTTGCACTGCTTCCCAGATACCATGACATTCCCAAAAAGTATAAATAGAAACTCGGCATACAAATTGCTAGGCAATTCCCTGAATGTCAGAGTGGTGAGTCGGTTATTGACATATATGTTTGACAGCCAAAAAGAACAATAAATCGAACTTAATTTAGAACTAGATAAATCAAGTTAGATTGTGCCTCGCAATTCAGATTACGAGGTGTAAATGTATCTCCTCCGTGTCGAAGAGGGTCGAAGCCGAGGGTGGAAAGTATTGTGAGCTATTTCAACTTTTGTAGACCCTTTTACAACATCTTGTAGGAACCTGTTCTGACTTAAAAGGACAGCTTGTCTGTTCCTATAGCTAGCACCTGCGTTGAAAGGCATTGTACAAATTCGGACCATATTTTCGTGTGCTCAAATTTGCTGGATGTGTTGTTAATGTCATCCTACAGACTTCAGTATTGAAATGTGAATCCAGGGCCATGGCTCGTCAATATCATAGCACAGTTTCGAGCCAACAAAAACGTACAGAATGAGTACAATCAAAAAGCCCAAATTAAGCTTCTATACAGCAAGCATTTATTTCGGACATACCGGAAAGTTTATTTTGATCTATAGTTCTTTATGGAATGATCTCGCTTTATACTATCGAATTGCGAATGCCCGCTCTAGTCTACTCTACGACCACAGACCACTCGCTCTCTATGTCGCCGTACTGAATGTCTGAGATGGTGTTGTTGACTCGTAGTGTGAGTTCACCGGACTTGCCAGCGGCAAGCGGCACAGCGTAGTCCTTGCCCTGGTAGCCAATGTTCTTCACAGGCGACACAATGCAGGCTGTACCGGCTCCGAAGGCTTCGATCAACTGATAGGGGTGTAGGACGGGTACATGAGTTAAGCTTCTTGAGTGCTTGGCAGTCGACATAAGTGACAAGCTATTGGAATACAAGCAAACGTGACGTCGTGGACTGTGTGGCAAAACAAAAAAGCAATCTTGCTTTCTCACGGGATAGAATACGAAGGCCGCCGGCATTTTATGGACATTCAACAGTTAGCGATGAACAAATCTCTTCAAATCGCTTGGCTGTGTATACATAAACGACATATATCAGTCAACTTCCAAACTACATATTAATTATCGAGTACCACATACCCTGCCCTCTTGCTGAGCCTCGATTAGGTCCTTCATGGTGAACCATCCTTCAGTCACCTTGAACTCTCCCCACTGCTTAGCCAAATCGATGATAGAGTCGCGCGTAACTCCAGGCAGGATGGTGCCTTCAAGGGGTGCGGTTATCAACTCTTTCTCTGAAGGGATTCAAATTGGAAGAACGATATATGAATTCGAGTGGAAAGCACTCTATATTTTGACGGATACGGTTCCCGACACCGGAAATGTAAATCTCAAGACACCTGGTTTGGCAAAGAAAAATGAAGTCCGATTATGAGCAGCTGCGTATTCAGGGAATGTCAGCTGGCTGTCATCGGTTGTTTTTGTACAACTAAAAATCATAGCACTGAGTACACCCTACACGCACAGTCCCGGTGATATGCAAATCAGGGATGATGAACGAGAGGAAAGATCTACTCTTGCACTACTGCGGCAATTCGAACTATCAATAGAACAAATACACTGCAAATAGAAAGTATACATACCACCAGCCTTGTTGGTCCAGAACACGAAGAAGTTCATGGTGCCGACTTCAGTGACCTTGTGGTCCTCATCAGAGAGCCACAGCAACTGATCGTAGCCCTTCTCGCCCGCCTCTATTTGCGGTACAACGCCGGGAGCGTAATTCCTATACGCAGGTATATGTCAAGGTGACAAGTAAGTTTGAGTGCCAGCTTTCTATTTTAGAAATATTGTACGTAATAAACAGCATCGATACAAACATTCACGTACATGCAGCGTTGATGAAGTATGTGATCGTGGTGAACATCACAATTGCAGATTTGAAGTGACTACCAGCCCCAGATAAACGAAGTATGAAGATATAGGTCACAGCCTAGTCATAGTTGTCGTGTTGTATACATGGTCAAATACCATGCAACGGCTACATATAAGACATTACAGTAATGTGCGGGTGCGTGAAATCGAAAGTTGCATACAGTATTAGATAACAAACACACAGCAAGCCATCCCACTGAACTACCACTTTGGTGTTAACGTATTCGCAATGGGCCTCCTATAAACACATCCAACCCAATTCTATAGCCATAAATACTATCTAGCCATTCCAAAAAGTACAACCTTCGTAGACTACTCAAGTAAGCACATACCCTCCGATTTTGTAGTTTCCAACACCTCCGGGCCATGCGCGGTTGTAGCGGTCGTCAGCCAAGAGCGACACTGGCGCAAAGCCGTTTTTGTAGTACGGACCTACCGGTGACATGATGACAAACATCTTGGCATTCTTTGATGCTCCTACACCGAGTGACGGCTATTAGAGGGATGTGCGTGATTGAGTAGCGTATATGAGTAATTATTGTGATCCTGCAGATTATGTAAACTTTAGCGATAAACCAATCGTGCACAAGGTATAGGTATAAACATAGCAGAGAGAATATCAACCTCTCCATACTAGAACGTAATCGTGTAATGTATACAGCGAACATAGCGTAATCGGACAACGCTCCAGAGTGATTACACACCTGATTAAGACACATTTGGGCATGTACTTCTACATCCATGTCTATTGATCAATAGACTCACCTGTGTACCAATAGCTGTTGGACGTAAATATAAGGAGTAGCCCTTTTCCTCGGGGATCCACGCACTATCCACCTTGACAAGCTCTTTTATGCACTCGAGGAACTGGTCCTGATCAAAATCTGGTAGAGCAATGCGCTGCGTTGATCGTGCCAGGCGTCGCATGTTCATGTCTGGTCGGAATAGACGCACTTTTCCGTCTTGGCCTGGAAGATGAGACGGGTGTCGTACAAAGAATGGATAAGAATATGCCGATATAATGAAGCGGATCTCCACCCTGAGGCTGGGCGGAGTGTGTATGTTGGTGTGGAGTCTCATAATCAAGTCCTTAATACTTTGGGCTGAGACTACGTGCGCTACTGCTAATCAGTCACGAAGGGCTCGTGTATACCAGTCTTTGAGCTCCAGTATGAGCTTCAGTAACAAGTTTTAATGTATGTGTCTATATTTTGTATTATATACTCATATGCAACACAATTTGTAATATATCTGACTATAATATGATACACATACATATATATAAATGTGCAATTTGTTAAAAAAACATATATATGTATATGTACATCAACTAACTATGAACACCATTAAACCTGCATTGTGTGCTATTTCCAAGCGAGTAAAGGGCAAAACAACCACGTTAAACCCATGATAATATAAATATGTGTCTTCATGCTTATAGCTAGTAAAAGTACCTGGTGTTCGAATATATATATATATATATATATATGTATATATATATATATATATGTATGTATATATACATAAATATCTATCATTTAATCTTTTACGTGAACTCTATTTTATCACATCGAACATTCATCTCATATATATATATATATATATATTATACACGTCTATATACATGTAAAATGAAATTCATTTATATACATAAATTTATTAAGCGAGTGTACGTATATTTATGAAATACATGCATGTGAAACAAACGCGACGTAGAAATATGCATTCTATACAAATGAACCTACGCATAAGCAAATGTATATAATCATGTATACATATATGCGTGTATACGTATATATATATATATATATATATATATGTATGTATGTATACATATATATATATATATATATATATATATATATATATATATATATATATATATATATAAATATAAATATATATATATATATAAATATAAATATACATACATACATACATATAAATATAAATATATATAAGTGGACGAACCCACTCATAACCACACATATAAACACACACACATATATATATATATATATATATGTATACTTATATACATACATAATTCATACATTCATACAGATATATAAAGATACAGATACAGATAAAAATCAGATTT